GGATCTTCCTTCAATCTCTTCTGGCCCACCTTCCATCTGAGGAAGACAGCTCCCTAACTGGGACTACATAACAAGGCCTCTGACTCCAAGCACTTGCTAATACAACCTATTTCCAGATGTTGCCGGTTTAGGAGATATTGATAGTTCCTTGAAGGCAGAGTCACAGGTAGACAGGGTAATGAACAAAGCATTTGATACAGTTGCCTTTAATGGTCAGTGCATTCAGTATATGAGTTGAGATATCATGTTACAGGACAATGGTTAAGCCACTTTTGGACTACTGCATTCATTTCTGGTCTCCCTGCTATAGGAAAGAAGTTGTGAAACTTGAAAGGGTGCAGAACAGATTTACAAGGAATTTGCCAGGGTTGGAGGGTTTGAGCTATAGGGAGAGATTGAATAGGCTGGGGCTATTTTCCCTGGAGAGTTGGTGCCTGAGGGGTGACCTTATAGATATTGAAAAGTCATGAGGGGCATGGATAGAGTCAATAACCCCCAGGGTCTTTTACCCAGGATAGGGGAGTGCAAAACTAGACGGCATGGGTTTAAGGTGAGTGGAGAAAGGTTTAAAAGGGACCTAAGGAGCAACTTTTTCATGCAGAGGGTGGTGCGTGTATAGAATGAACTGCCAGAAAAGGTGGTGGAGGCTGGTACAATTTCAACATTTAAAAGGCATCTAGGGAGATACATGAATAGGAAGGGTTTAGAGGGATATGGGCCAAATGCTGGCTAATGGGACTAGATTAATTTAGGATATCTGGTTGACATGAACGAATTGGACCAAAGGGTCTGTTTCCGTGCTATACAACTGTATAACTCTATGAGTCTAAATGGATAACACTGAGGAGAGCAGTTTGGGAATGCCAGTACTTATCCAGTGCATGTGGCCTTTTGAATTTGGCATGAGTGGTAGGGGTTCAAGGCTTTTAGTGAGTATTCTCTGAGTGGCAAGTTATTCCATGAATGGCATGCAGTAAGATGAGATGCAAATTGGACACATTAGGGGTGGGGTAGATAATTAATGTGGTGCGTTTGGTACGATACAGCAAGAAAACTTACTCGGCCTCGCAGCTTACAAGCCTTCAAAAATCTTACGCAACTCAGCCTTAACCAAAACAAACAAGCTTCAGCCCATAATCTCCATCACCCAGCACATCTTTTGTTCTGTCTGCCTTAGCTTTTGTATATCAAACTGTATGTATCGGTCCCAATCATATATTGAGGCTACTGTAGCTTCTGGTTTTACTAAAGGACAAATCCACACATGTTTAACTGCAGCCTAGGACTTCTGCTTCTAAAATTTAAAACTAATTAGAGCTTGGCTTCTGTGAAATAACGCTTCTGACAACAACTGTTAGATTTTGGGGTCTTTGGACCATGGTTACCACTACAAGCAGTGATGGGAATTTTTAGATAGTTTATTAAGCCTGTTAAAAAACAGCAGTTTAGATACGATATATTAGTTAACTGTAAAAATTCTAAAACCGTGGCCATGCCCTCTGCCCTTCAGCACATGTCAATATAACCCATTTCTAGAGGCGAGGATAGTAGGAACTGCAGATGCTGGAAAATCTGAGATAACAAGGTGTAGAGCTGGATGAACACAGCAGGCCAAGCAGCATCATAGGAGCAGGAAGGCTGACGTTTCGGGCCTAGACCCTTCATCAGAAAGGTCTAGG